GGGATATTAGCTTGCTAAAGCTAAAGCCAGCAATGAATAGTCAAATGTGGCTACAGGAGCATACATGAGATAATAGCTCTCTAAAGCTAAAGCTAGCAATAGTTCATCAAACTGGGATATTAGCTTGCTAAAGCTAAAGCTAGCAATGAATAGTCAAATGTGTTAAAAAATTAGCAATATCATAATTAATTATGTGTTCGTAGACTAGTCAAATATTTTTTGTGCATTAGTTAGCCTGCTATACACTACATACAATAACTTCAAAAAGTCGATAGAAATAGATTTAGTTCAAATTTCAGCAATGTCAAATGTCCTGATAAGAAGGAAATCAAATATCCGACAGTGAACCTAAAAAATGCGAAATCAATTAAGATGAATGTAATTACATTATATCAGTGTAACAACAATGACCCTTCATGGTTGGTGTTGAAAGGAGGAGTCACGTGGAATATGTTACTCATTACTAATTAATTTATACTAAAAAATTAAAAAACAGGGGCCTGTGATTTTTTTTTTATTCTAAAAGAAAAGTGTGTGTATGTGTGTAAACACAGGGTGGGGATTGGGGTGTGTGTGTGTGTCTTTCAATCTCTTTATCTTTGTGCTACATTCATGTATGAAAAGTCCTGTATAAACACATTAGGTTTCATTTTAAAGTCCCTCCCTACAGTGTAATTATCAACACCATCAGCAGACAAACTGACCAGTGAGTTCCAGTGGTAATTAATCTCTGTCGTCCAATCTACACATCTGCAATCCACACAGCCAATCAAGAGGATAAGCCCAGTGACTCCCAGTGGCCCTGCTAATATGAATCTATTAGGGGGGGGGGGCGGCAGACTGCCACATGTCCACGACTCACCGCTCCTCCATCCTTCCTATCTGCACCAATTATCCCTATTGGCATTCCAGCCTCATCCGTGTTTCCTTCAAAGGAAATGGACGGCAGGATTCACTAAGCCGAGTGGCTCAGAGGCTGCGCTGCTCACACACCCTGAGTTTTTGTGTGTCACTTTGAGTGTGTGTGTGTGGGTGGGTTTGACAGCCTACACACACACACACACACCAGATAGTGTCATAGGGTTGTCAGGGAGGGATTTATGGCTCACACTGGCAATTGTTTCCCACACCAATCATTAAAATGCAGCACTGTGTGTTTTGTGGAAACGCACATGGACACACTGACACACACGTGTGTGAGAGAGAGAGTGTGTGTAGGACTATTCATTTTGGTGGAAACTGGCAGGTTCCTCACTGGTTCTCCCTCACTGACAGCTTACAGCAGGTACAGCTGGGTGATAACAGAAGAGTCTTTAACCTACAGTGTGTGTGTGCATGAACTGGTATTAATCATGTTGTGGGGACAGAACTCTGACTGCAGTCAATTGGAGGAGACAGATATTGTGGTTATTTATCAGTAGCTATTTTACGCTTGTATGTTTGGGATTAGCTGTGTCTATTTCCAGACTCACAGTTAGCCTGCGGGCTAACATTTAGCTTCATTTGTTTTGCTGACAGCTAACATTGTTAGTGTTTAAAAAGGCACAAAATCAATGGCAAAAATATTTTTCATTGATAATTTTTCTGTAAATATACAGTTCAGTAAATATACGCGTTCTTTGCTGTTTCCTAGATAAATCTGAGGTATTTGTTTCACATTTGACTTTTTTCCCCACTCTGGTTATATATTCTTATATACAAATATATGTGCATTTTATTGACATACTGTTCATGAGAAACTAATGGGTTTCCTCAGGGCTGGGCTAATGAGGAATGAAGGAAAATACAGTGTGTGTGTGTGTGTGTGTGTGTGTGTGTGTTTTACCTGTGCACTGTAAGTAATGTCCTCCGCCTGCTGGTCAGTCATCTCAGCTAATGTGTCAGTTAGCTCTTTCTCACATGGGTCATGTAAACCTGGACCACCTGGGGGGAGGGGGGAGGGGGTGCACAAATACGAACGCACACACACCTTTAATATGGACACAATCCAACCTCCAGATTTCCAAAATGACAATACATGAATTATCCTTAAAAAAGACTCAAAAATGAGTGCAAATAAATCCTGTTAAAACTCCTTTTTGTTGCCATTTAATCAGTTTAGTTTCTGCCGCAGGTGTAAACACACGTTACTGTAAGTTGTGTATTCACGCGTACTGAGTGTGTGTGTACCTGGTAGCAGTATGCCTGAGGCCAGACACTCCATGACTCTGCGCAGGGCTTCTCCTGCCCCCAGAGGTCTGTTACAGGTGGCAATGGCCTTCTCACAGATGAGCTCTAATGGCTGTAGGAACACACACACACACACACACACACACACACACACACCGGTGTATACAACATAGATTAACATTTAGCCTGTAGATTTTAAAGGTCATTACACAAATTGCAGCGTTATGCAAAACCCTATCAAATGCGTTCCCTTTCTCTTTTCTTTCTTCTCTCCATATTAACAATCTATGACAGACACACTCTCCTCTTTTCTTCAACTAAATCTTTTCTCTGCTCTCTTCCTGGACTGGACAATGTTAGACTACGTCCTTGGTCCAACATAAAAGGTTAGGTTGAAGTACTAAGAAAAATGAGTGCATGAAATGAAAACAAAGAAGCCTTTTCTGTACATATCCTCCATTGTGGACTAAGTAATGTTTCATCACCAGTCACCCTGTCAGTTTGGTTCTCAAAGCTCTAGAGCTGCGTCTGTTCTGTGTTGATATCTGACTCATCACTGGTCACTGTCAAAGGAGGATCTTTTTTCTTTTCTACCTTTAGCTTACTCTAAAACCAATTTCTCAAATTCCTCAAAAACTAAATGGAATGGGACCAATTTTTTTTGCAACATCCCAAATTTCAACAAGGGTCAGAATAATTCTGACTAATAATTGAGATTCCTATCACGGCTGTGTCTGTACAAAATAACTAAAATGCGATCGTCTATCCATTGATTTGGTTGGGTTTGTACTGCAAATCAAAACACAGAAACATCTGAATATAAACTAATATCCCATCAATCTCTCCTATCCAGTCAATCATCCCCTTACTTTCAGAGTAATCCCAGTAATAGTCTCTATGGAAAAAGAACAGCAGTTATGAACTGACTTTGAGTTGTATAATTATTGTACACAACAGAACTCACCCATCCTTTGAGAGGCTCCCAGACACTGTGTCTATTGCACATGTCTCTAAGTATCCTGAGAACTATGACACAGGACTTGAGCCCGTTGACCCGAGCCTGGGTGCGATGACGAGCCATGTCCAAGGGGGGGCGTAGAGGGAGGACAGAAAGAACGTGAACAATGATTGCAGAGGAAATGAGACCCGAGCCGCACACCGAGTGTAAACATACCATCATACAGTCATATCCCCAAATGAAGGCATTATACTGCGTCTATCAACGTCTTATCTTCATCTAAGAACATTTTCCAAAGAAAATCATTGCCTTTCATTTATTTTGTCTGGTTTTAGTATGGCAAGTGAGTTTGGAGACAAATGGGGGAAGGGAATGGGAGAGGAATTAAAGGGGGAGCACTGACATACTATACAGAGCAGGCAGGTTCACATAATAGCCAAAATAAAAAATAAAAAAAAATCCACCATTGCTTTTGTAGCCTAACGATACCACTCACACTTTTTGTATTTAGTCATTTACAGCGTGCTATTGGACACCGTTGTTCAACTGTTTTCGATTAGTCTGGCCTGAACAGGCAGAACACGCTGCTGACACTGAGTGAATTCCCAACGGGCGCATCGTCAGGCTACAATAAGCATCGGGCAGGAAGACAGGAAGTGAGCGGGTGCCGACCTGGAACCACTTGGCGTGTCTCAGCGCTGCCAGGGCCAACAGACATCTGTGTCTATCCAGCACCTCCCCCTCCTCCTCCTGCTCCTCCTCAGTCTCCACTCTGTGCGCTGCAGCACCCAACACTGCCACAAAACAACGACAACCCAGGACAGAGAACGTGAAACACGCACACGTCAGTTCAGGACTGTGTGTGTTTGAGTTTGAGATTTAGTTTTCTGCGCGTGTGTGAATGCGTGCGAGCACACGTCGTTGTGAACTGTGTGTGGCTGCACACGTGCACACACACACATGCATGGATACTCTGGAAACATACAGGGTGCTTTTCATGCCATAAAGTTGTTTGTCTCCTTGTAGAAGGCACTGGCTCTCTACAGCTCACCGATCAGTGTTCCTAAAGGGACAGTTTGACAGGTTTTTTTTTTTTCGTTCAGAAAAAGAAATGTGGACTTGTATAAAGAAATGACAAAAAGCCAGAACTGGGACCAGAAACCGAACTGAGACATTGATTCTGACTTTTCATAAAAGCCCGACTGCCAGCAGGGACACAAGAAATGGAAGTTTAGATCTTTGACAAAATCTTTACCTCAAAATGGTGTCTGGGTTCCTACATTGCTATATTCCAGTGTGTTAATGTGTGCCTTTTATTTTGAAATTCTTTGTTTGGATCTACATTTATAACACAGACGTATTGATTGGAACAGGAGAGGTAAATGAACGAAATTTAGCATGTTGTGAAAAACAGGACATAGCCTCATGTCGTCTTAGATTTAAGGTTTCGGTCCAGCAGCTTCAGGTCAACATGCTGATGTAAATGTTTGTAATCCAAAGATTTAAAATAGGAAATCTATGACCGGTCCAGCGTGCTGGAGGACAAAAGAAGTTATCGGATTGATAGTTTCCTAATCATTCCTTGGTTAATTTTTTTTTTTTTTACGTCTGGCAGATTAACGTCTGTCTTAGAACTTTTTGACTCACGCTTGTGAATATAGAAAAGTTGTGGGATTTTCTTAATGTATCTTTTGCGTCTCAGATGTCTCTGGTCCAGGCTGGACATTTGTTAGGCTTTTATACAATGAAAAAAACAAACAACCATCAACTGTCCCTTTGGACTTGTCCTCACTGTTGAAAGTGTGGCATTTTCAACATTGTGGTCAAACTGACGTGTCACAATCAAGTCACAAACGAGTCTTGTGTCTTTCAGCTCTGTGAGTTCGGATGTAATCGGTGTAGAGAGTTTTAAAGTCCGTGGAGTAAACGTTTAGGTAAGAATCTCTAGTCCAAGTCAAGTCCTCAGTGATGCAGTCAATGTCTGTCTGAAGTGTCCAATTAGGTAAAACCAGTCTTCCTTTGAGGAATTCTAAATTGACTTGAGCGCACCATGTGGTACGACTATAGAACTACAGGCAGATTGCGTTGCCAACACTATGTGTTGAAAGATGACCACACCGTTCAAGAGCGACTGAAGTATTTTCATCCATCTACTGGTCACTTACAAACAAGTGAAGTGGAGAACAAGCAGGACCACAAGAAAAGAGACAACTTTGTGTGATGAAGAGCCCCCCCCCCCAACACACATACACCACACAAACACCTGGAGGTGTGTTTGATTTACTGTGTGCGGGGGTGCTGTTTACAGCCCAGCATAGGTAAATCAATATCTCCTTCATGTGTTTGAAAAAGAGTGTATTTATTTTGATCCAGACTACAGGAGTCAAAATAGGAACTTTTTTTTTTTTTTTTTTTTTTTTTGCTGCACTTGATTTCACAGGCTGGTGGGGAGACGAACACAGAATCAAGCGCTCCTACAGGAGAACTGAGAGAAGAAAAACAATCCAAGATCAATTGACCCAGTCTGAGGCAAACGCAACACAGGAAGAATCGAGGCAGGGTTTTAGTCGGAGCATCGTGGTCGGTCAGAGAGGAGCATTCGTGTTCTCTTAAATCTGATTCATGTCGCCCCACACCCCACAAAAACAACTGTC